TATTAATCACAAATTTCTTTGTTTAAAATAAAAAAATTAACTTTGTTTTTTATCTATTTAAATAAATTTTTGAAAATATAAAAAAGATTTTTATATAACATAAAGTTTGTAATTAATAATAAATTATAAAAAAAGTGTTCTACAAATAATTTATAAGTAACGCATAATTCATAAATAATTTTTATTGAATAATAAGAAATAAATAAAATTAAGAAAAAAATTGAATCAAATAAAAATAAATGAGAAATAAAAGAAAGTAGTGAGTCGACTATTAAAACCCTTAACCTTAACAATGGAAGATAACTCATAAAAGAAGAAGAAAAATATAAAATGATAGTAACAATTCAAGAAAATCTCGTTTATCTATTAATGTTATTACCAACAAAGTTTGCTTCCATAAATAATATTATCTCAACAATCATAATAAACAAATATTGTTTTAATTTTCATCTAATTTATCTAAATAACCATTGACCTATTTAATTAATTATTCCAATCATAATCATCAAATATTATGTACACCATAAACAAGTTAAAAATACATAAACATCACATAATTATCATATCAAATAATAAAGTGAGAAATATTAACTAATAAAGAGAGTTTTCAAAGTCCAAAAAAAAGATAAAAATAAAATTAAAAATAAAATAGAAAGAAAAAGAATAAATAATACTTGAATGCAATTTTGAATTTTGAATCTTCTTTTTTTCTTAATTTTTGGAAGAATAAAAAAAAAATTAAAATGATGATTTGCATAGAAGAGAAGGAGATCCATAAGAGGAGAGAGGAGTATTTTTTAAGAAAGAAGATCTTTTTTGAGAAAAAATAGATCTCTTAACAAGTTGATGTATTTAAAAAAAAAGAAAGAAAAGAAAGCTCCTAATTGGAGATTTTTTTTAAGTTTTTTTTTAGATTTTATTCTTTAAAAAAAATTATTTTTTTAATAACTTTTTACAAAATCTTGTTTGATTTAATTTTTATTTTTAAATAATAAATAAGTTAAATATAAGTTAGCTCAAATGAGATTATTGAATTGTACTTCACCTATAAAACGATAACGCTTTAAGTAAGACGACTTGCTTGGCCAGAATATAAGACTTTTGAGCGTTAGATGCACTTCCAATATGACTTTCATTAAATGTTAGATAAAATGCAATTTCAAGTTCTTTTAAACAAAATATAAAATTGGTCCGGAATTAATAAGATCCTTGTAAGTGCAAAGTCCTTGTCTAAGTCAACAGCAGTCCAAGTCAAACCTCATGCCTTCAGTTTGGTGGGCTTAAGCTTTCTAGATTGATTGGCAATTCATCCTTTTGATTCTGAATTCTGAACCAGCTTAAATTAGCCCAACTTCAAAGGCCTCCTCATGCCTTGACTGACACAGCATTTTGGACTTTGTCCTGATTGGGTTGACCGGCTAAGTGCAAAATACTCTCTCCTTTTGGTTTCAACCTGAAAAAGATGCTTCATATTGGAAACAACGTTTCAAACCTGACAGTAAGAAGAGGAAAAGGTTGCCTTCTATCTTCAAGTTTGAAACGTAATCTATTTAATTTTAGTGCTGTTGTTACTTAAGATGTTATCACCGTGGTTTTAATATAGCCAACTTCATACGAGTGTAAAAGGAAATGAAAAAGACAAAAAATGGCCCTTTAATTTCAAATTTATTTTGGTTGCAACCCTCCCGTTCGGTAGACCCTTCAGTGCGGTTAGCACCAATTGTACCCAATCATGTCGTGAATTTGCCGCTTGCCAAAGATTCCAGCAGCGTGATTGGTCACTCCAACCACACTGCAAGTGCTGTTGGCCGCCCAATTGCATCAGGGCCAAGGAGTTTCCGAGGACAATTTGCACTGGACCTCTCCCCTTTTTTTTTCCTTTTCAATTTTGTCCTTCTTTTCTTTTTGCACTAATGACATAAAATGCCCTGCTTAAGGTATCTTTGCTTTAAAAGCAGATTTCAGCCTTCTACTGGAATTCAAACAGTGCAGTTGGGCCTCAATATTCATTCACCGTGGACAGTGGATTCTACTTAATAGAAAAAAAAAGAAAAACTTAAGATCTCCTAAACAATAGGAAGTAACATTCTTAAGAGAAATAGTGATGCAATGATCAGTCTAATTAAAGTCAATTATAAACTTGAAAAATCAAGTCCTGAGAGGCAATTAAAATGATCTAGCCTATTATTCTATTGAACATGTACGACTCCATTCCCTGGTTAAAGCTGCATTTAGCATTTTGGTTGAAAGTGGCTTTTGAGCAAAAAGGCCACTGATGATTCCAAACAATTAAACATTTTGGCGGTGAAGCACAAAAGCGCCATTGAAAGTGTTGACTGTTGAAAGTGGTTTTTGTGCTCCCTTACCAAAAAAAGTTTTTTACAAAATATTTAAAAAAACTTTTAAATTATTTTTAAAATTTTAACTAATCTTTTATATTTTTATTTTAAGATAATTAAGTCTTTGTACTTTTATATTAAATCAAACAAACTCTTATGATTAATAATTGATATAATCAAATGGTTATTTGTCATCTTATGTCATATGATGCTGACATGACATATTAATATGTTATAATTAATGATAATATGATATATTGACATATTATATATTGACATATCATAATTAATAATTATATATCATGCTAATTTAGTATGATAATATAGTCAAGTGACATTTTTTATCTTCCACATCAATGTCATATTAGTGTCATGTGAATATAAAATGACAAATAGTATTTTAACTAATGACAATTAGTCAATTAACAGTAATAAGAGCTTATGTAATTTAAAATAAAAATATAAAAATTTGATTGAATGTAATAAAAAATAAGAATTTGTTTGAATTTTTTAAAATAATTTAAAGATTTTATTGAGTACTATTTTTTTTTAAAAGCAAAATTTATATTAATTATTTAAAGGTTACAAAAAATAAACTACCTCTCCTGGTAGTATTGCCACTAAAAAAAATTATGTTTTAATTATGTTACAAACGGATGAGGTATCCATTTTTTTAAAAATACTCGACTTCAAATCCGTTTAATTAAAAAGGTAACCAAACCTTTTTAAAACCAGAATAAAATCACAAAACACTCTCCAAAATTAAACTCTAATAATATATCATCATTCGTTAATTATCTGAATTCATTAAATATCTAATTAAATAACTCAAACAATAACTTAAATATTTAAAACTTATATAAAAATAATTTTATATTTATTAATTTATAAAAAAAAGTTGGTTAAGATGATAAAGGTTATATTAAAAAAAAAAGGCTGGTTGAAATGGTAAACTTTATATTAAAGGTAGGAAGGATAAAAGTTTAAATTTTACAAATTATAAAATTTTTAAACATTATATATAATATTAATATATATATATATAAATATATGTATAATCAAGTTTGGATTTAAAGTATCTTAAAGTTGATATTTGAAATTTACCTGAACTGAAATCAATTATTGAAAACCTTATGCAAATTCACCCCATAGTCAAATATCAAGTATTCAAACCTTATATTATTGATAATAACAACCTGTTTAAATCTCTAATTTTAATTTACATTTTAACTTATTATAACATTTTTTTCACAACAATGTCAAATATTTAAAACATTTTAAGATACTTTGCCTCGCTAGTTGATGGGACACATTTTCTACTCTAGGTGAAAGTCATACCTTAATCAATATTTTAATAACCAGACTGATTGTTGAATCGATGAGGGATTAGGCTTTGGTTCAATCGATCTAACGTATCATATTGCATTATTAAAATCACAATTAAAAATATAAGGTTTGGCATTTAATGTGTATTATATACGGTGAATAGTTAACACAGAACTTTAACTAAATGATTAAGACATTAATTGAAGCCTTAAAGGTCAAAAGGATAAGAATCCTACCACTTGCAAACACTTTTTAAATTATTAAATAATAATTAAATTGATTAAAATCAGTTCAAATTCAATACTGTACAGTTGAATTTGGACTGGTTTAATCTAAAGGTTAATTGGTTCTTGACCGATTTGATGTCCATCCAATATAATTATTTCTATCGAATGTTATTCAATTTTGATTAAGCAATTCTATCCATCAACTTATTTTAAATTTTATAACATTGTTTATTTCTACCTAATTGACGGCTGAGATCTCGAAGTACTTATGGTAAGTAAATATAAGAATTTCTTTTCGTTGGTTTCTCATATACCTAACTGGTACAGAAATTAATATAGATGCTAACTTTCAAGAAGACTTTAACTTGAAATTAATGTAGAAAGTTATTTATTTTCTTGGCTTTGGGTTTGGCTAATGCAACTTGGTCTCGACTGTATAGAGGCAGAGGGACACGGGCTACTAGGGTCCTGCCTTCAAATATTTTAATTTTTTAATTTTACTTTTATTTTAAAAAATTTTAAACTTTTAATATAATTACTTTATAAATATTATTTTCATTCTCTCAAGTATAAAATCTTGACTGCATCAATATGTATACCCATCGTCTATTTTTTTTTTCCAAGGCTTCTTGATCTGCTCTCATCCCTCTGTAGTGTACGTCAGGAAAGAACATCCAGACGTAACATCATAATATCATTTTTAGTGATAATTTAACTAATTATATATCATTAAATTTTCTTGGATGGATTACTAGATGCGTGACATTGAACGGAAAATGCAGCTTAAAATTTTACCGTAGGACCCACTGCACTCACTACTTATCGCATGAAGATGCGCGTAATGCCATTGAAAGCCTTAGGGAAGACTTTTTACATAAAGTTGAGACATTTTTTTAATTAAAAGTAATTAAATAAAAACTGAAATTTAAAAAATGACAAAATGAAGGGAAATCCAATAATAGAGCCAATAAATTAAAAATAGTACTTTACACAAAATTTTATTCATGTTTATTAAATCCTTAAAACTTTGTCATAATTAATCAAGCGGAATTTAATTAAATTTATATATTGAAAAAATTCCAAAGCGAAAGAAAAAAAATTGGAAGAAATAAAACTCCATTTGGGGGGGGCATAGTCATGGACGATGGCTTCACTTATTTATGGAGTTGATACTGCGCCGGTGGCTGGAAAACGCGTAGCTACTTTGGAGAAAGTGGTAAGCCAAGTTAGAATGTCATGACTGCCTTTTATTCATGGGAAAAAGGATAAGAATTATGAGACTATGAAAAAAAAAAAGTAGGAAGATAAAAGATATATGGTCCAAGCTTCAAAAATATAAAAGAAAAAAGAAAGGAAAATAATATTAATATTTATTTTAAGTCATACAACTAATAATATCTATAGGCTAATATCGAACAAACCAATACCAAAGTGAGAAGGTGTTCTCTTTAGTAATCTTGGTCCACGTGCATGGAAGGTGTCCTGTCCTGACATGGAGGATCTGCAAATAAAAGATTGTTATTGATTTATCGATGATTAAAGAAGGAGAAAAAAAAATAAAGTGTTACTTATTACAACTTCACAGCACTTGGTTATTCTATTATAGGCCCCTCTCTCATAATACAAAGAATCTATTCTTTTCCCCCATTGAATCATTCAAAGCTAGCCCTGAGAAAGCTTCTTCGCTGGGGAACAATTAAGTCTCTTCATTATTGCAACTTGTTTGGATCAGTACAAACACATGATGCAACTCGAGACCAAAATTTTAGCCCCTCCTTCCATCATTTTGATGATTCGTATCTCCTATTGTCATCTTGTGTTTGTTTACAAATTTTTGCAGAGAATTTGTGTTTAATTATTTCCCATTTAAAAATGGATTTTGTGGGACTCTGAATCTCCTTCTTACCAAATTTTGCTAAAAAGAAAGGCGAATATCCGTATTTAGGGGCCATTATTATTAGACTAATGCCATCATCCCTTGACCTAACAATCCCTTGAGTTTTAAATTACGATTTATGGATGCAATTTCTTTCTAATTTATGTTCCAGTTCATACATGAAGTTAAAAAAATTATCACTGTTTCCATTGTTCAATAAGTTTCATAAGGAAAAAAAAAATCTAGAAAGAGAGAAAGGCATAGAGCCACGTATTATCCCAAACTAGTTAGATCTTGGCATATGGAGGACATGCAAAGAAATTTTACGGTAACCGTCAATTGTCTAGCTTGCTCAAAACAAGAGGACAGCTGGCTGCTAGTGCTACCCAACCAATTCACGATAGGGCCCCAAACCCAAAAATAAAAAGAGAAATATGGGAGGGGCGTCGGTTCTGACTTATGCCACGGATTTCACACTCTTAACATTCCCAATGAGCAAATGGGGGTGTGTGTGTGACTACGACTTCAACACTTTCATTCGACGCCTCACTCACCTACTCTTTCCTTCTTGATAGCTTTTTCTCACATGATCCAAAAAACAAGTGACACTTAAACAGCACAAAAAGGTTTTTCTTTTTGATAATTTCGATGAAAATAAAAAAAAAAAACTACTAATGGATTATAATTTACTAAAGTTTTTGAATTTAGATTTCAAGTAGAAAGGAGTGGAATTTTGATTGTGAAGTCCAAGCTTGTGTATTAAAAGAAAAAGAATAGTGGAGTAAATTGAGTTGCCATTATGGGCGGGTAAGGGCTGTTTCTTTCTCCTCCATCTCTGCTCCACACCCTCAAGTAAACACAAGCGTACAGACAAATTTATTCTTCTCTTCTCTCTTCTTTATTCTTTCTCTCTTTCTTTTCAATATTTTTTCTTATTGTTCTACTAAGCATTGATTCTTTCTTTCTTTTTCTCTCTCTCTTTTAATTAATCATTGATTAGGCAGCTCTCTCTCTTTCTCTCTCAATCTTTTCCAAGAAAGGAACTGGGTTGTCTTCTGCAATTTTTCCTTCATCATATCGTAAAGGTACTTTTCTTAATTGTTTCTTTTTCTCGAGTATTTGTAATCAATTCTGTGTTGGGTGGTTGTTGGAATTTCAATTACTAGAAAGAAAGAAGAGAAGTTTGAAAAAAGAAAACCATCTCTATTTATCGTGTTTGATACAGAGATTTTAGTTTCTTTCTCTCTCAAATTTGAAGGCGTTGCTCATTTCTTGAACAAATTTAGTTTCAGTAAGAAATCTGAATCTCAAGTTGATAGTTTCTTGTTTTAAATTTTTCTGGCAGATATGGAAATGCAGGGGAAACTTTTCATTTTGAATTGTTTTATCTTTGTTTATTTGATAAGATTATCTTGTTTGAAATAAATTCTTGTTAATGCCGGATTTGCTGATAACTAGAATGCTGCTGCCCATATACCGTGGTTATGAGCTGCATAGCTGTTGTCTTTTTAGTATATTCAAGTCTTAGATTAAGCTTTAGCGTTCCTCTGTTTTTGGCGTTTGTCTATTTGGGGTTATGCGGTTCTGGCAAAACTGGAAAAAATGTGAAAGGAAATTTGGAAAATAGTTACAGTGGCTTCTGTTGCATTGAAGTATTTATCATTTGCGGATTGTGATGATCTAGAAATGTAATTTTCATTGGTTTTCTTCCTACCTTTTCGGAACAGTGAAGCTGAGCATCAAACCTTGTTGGTAGGATCAATGGAAGCAAGATATAACTTTTTGGGTTTTGCAATTAGAACAAATTAAGCAGATGTTACTGACTTAGTTGCGCAGAAAGCGAGGAAAAGATCTTTTACTTCCTTCAGTACTATTCATAGCTTTGAATTTTCCCGAAGAAGTTTTCCGTTTAGCAGTCAAGTAGAAATCTAGTACTACCCTTATTTCATTGGGTTTCAGTGACAGTTAGCAGCTTCATTTGTTGTGAAAATAAAGAATCCTGCTTGATTTGCTGATATGCAGAATGCTGCTACCCTGCCCACCTAATCTGTGTTATGCCTGTTGTTTGACGTTAGCTGTTCCCATTGTTTGCTACTTTTGAATAAAAATTCAAATCATGGTAATTTTCAGCTTCTTTCTTTCTTGCTGCTATATTCTTCAATGTTGTTCATTTGGATTTGATTTGATGGCACATGAACAGATCTATGTTGCTAAAGAATTTGATGGAAGACAAACAACTGGATTTTAATCAGCCACTTCTCTCTGTGAGGCGTTTCACATCACCAGGAGCCGCATCTGAATCTGAGGGCAAAAGGAAATCTGATACTTCACTCCCCAAGATACCCCGTCCACCCATTTACAAATCAGAATTGAAATCAGGACCAGTAAGGAATCCTGGAACAGTTCCTTTTGTATGGGAGAAAACCCCAGGACGACCAAAGGAAGAAAGCAATTCACAAACTCAGGCTCTTAAACAGCTCTGCTTGCCCCAAGGCTTCCACCTGGGAGGATTTTGAATGATAAGCAGCATTCTTCAAGAAATGGGTCTGGTGGTAAAACATTTACTCCATCTCAAACAGGAACTGTCCCTTCCTGTTCTCAAAATGTTTCATCTTTGAAGAGGAATGAAGCTAAATACGAGAGTTCCGGTGGAGATATGGAGGAGACAGGGAGCTCTGGCTCAAAGGATAGTGATGAGGCATATGTAGATGCGCTTGATACACTTTCACGAACAGAGTCATTCTTCTTGAACTGTAGTATTAGCGGTGTGAGTGGGTTCGATGGTCCTGAGGTCAAACCATCTGGGATCTTCTCAACAGATCCGCAAACTCGGGATATCATGATGGGTCGTTTTTTGCCTGCGGCAAAGGCAGTAGCATCAGAAATACCTCCATACGCTTCTAGGAAGCAACCTGTAGCACGAGAGCCACAGAGACAGGTAAAGAAGGTAGTCATTGTGGATAAGCAGCAGCCACTTTATGTGTCCAGACCAAACAATTTTCCAAATCACGCACAAGATGATTGGTTGGAAGAAAGTGAAGATGAAGATGATTATAGCGGTCTCAAAACTCTTCAGCAAAAGTTTGTGGCTTATTTCATCAGTTTTTGCTTAAAAGTTCCTTCTGCCTTTTGAACCCAGTACCAGGGATGAAAATTCAGGCTCAGAAACCGGCGAAACCAGCCCACTCTGTTCGTAGAAGACAGGCTAAATCCTCATATTTAAGATCTGGCAATGAAACTGAAAACGAGGTACCTATTTTCATTTCTCCTCCTGTATAATATGGTTGTCTAAATCGAACCCCGATTTCCTTACCCTTCTTTTGCTTTTCATTTATAAGTTAAAATATTGGCTTCTTTTCTGTTTCATGCAGTATGCCAAGGCTGCTACAGAGAAAGGCTTAACTGGTATATCTCGAACAGAAGAGCTAATTGAAGATAAGAATAATCTAAAGAGTGGATCTATCCATATGAGTTATAGGAGTGATTGTCAGAATCCGGATGGAGCATCTCTGTTCAGGCATTTGCAGGGTAATGTTGTATCATCCTACCCTAGTCAAATTTCCCAGTTGGTCCATCGAGAAAAAAGGTTTCTTGGTACTCCTGAAACAGCTAAAAATTATGGGGTTAGTAGCATTGATCTGCATAAAAAAGGAAGCAACAATTTTCAAGAATTACTGGCCCTCCAGAGTAACAATCTGGAATCAGGCTTAGACAGCCCTGCGGCTGAGAAAACTCTTTATGTAGATTCTGTACACAAGGTAATATCCACCAATTCATATTTTTCAGCTACCAAGACAGCTCAAGGCATGGAGGGTGATTCTGAGATTGTAGTTAAACCTGGGAAAGTGGAGGAGACTCCTTCAGTAGATTCTTTGTTACAGGATATCAAGCACTTGAATTGCGTGGTTGATGATAAGGTGATAGTGCAGCATAAAAGCTTGGAGTCTGTGGATTCATATTCCCTGTTTTCTTCTGAAAAAAATGCTCCTGAGATGGAATTGGATGCAACAAACGGTTCCAGAAGGGATCAAGATTTGATTAAGGATTCTAGTAAATTGACAAGCCTAAATGTGACCCACAACAAAAAGGATGATATGGACAGCCAACTGCACTTTAAATTAAGTTGTCGAGAAACTTCTCATGGTCTCGTACAGGACTCTATTACATTAACAAAATCAAACGTAGCCGGCCGTAGAAAGATTGGTTTAGAAAGTCACCAGCAAAAGAAATCAAGTAACCAGGAAAGTTCTCATGGCAGCTACTCAAAACTTCCTCTTGCCCCACCTTTACCAAAAGCTCCATCAGAGTCTTGGTTAAAGCGCACCTTGCCCACTGTTTGCTCGAGGAATTCATCTTCACGGTCTTGTCTTGCTGCATGTAACTATAGTGGAACTCAGGCCTCGTCTGCTCCCTCTAGTGATCCCAAGTGGGAAAGCATTGTTCGATCTTCTAATGTACATCATGGCCATTTGCGGTTTTCTGAGGTGAGTTCCGTAGCTTCTTAGTTCATTCCTTCTTTGTTTATGTTTACCGTTATTGGATTGAGTGGTTCTTACATTTATTATGTAATTCCTCATGTACCAGGAGCAACTTCCTCCAGTACCCGAAGCCTAGAAGTACAAAGACTTAGAGTCAGCAGGCTCAGCCATTCGCTATGGTTGGATCCATTGTTTTAATGGGTTTATGGATGCAGAAAGATACCTTAAATCCCCTTTCAAAAGTTTTCTCTACGGATGCTCTCGGTACGTAATGGAAAGCTGTAAAAGTGTAAATCAACATTTCCATTATCACACTGAAATAAGAAGCTACGGTTGTAATTTCTTGTAAATCACATCAATTAGTTCATTGAGTATATAGATATAGGTCCAATAATCCTGTATTTTGATTCTTTTGTAAACGAATTCGGGAGCTTTTTCCTCTTATTTGCAATAATAGGAGAAAAATGGTTTATACTATTAATTATTATTATCTATTTATTCAGTAAAGTTTTTTGATATTTAAAAACAGTATTATATGTCCACTCTGCATTTTTTTTTTGGGTCAAAATTTAACCAACTTTTATCATAAATTTCTATGAATTGAATTTTCAAAAGAATAAGATTTAAAAATTTTAACTTTAAAATATTTCAAAACTTATTTTTAAAGATTTATTTACTCATAAAATTATAATAAAAATTGGTTATATTTGACGGAAAAAAAGGTCAAAGTGAACATTCAATTTAAAACAAATGAAATGATACTTAATTTTTTGTTACTTTTTTTTAAAAATTCTTTAGTATCGAATTACCTCATGTCTGGCTCATGCAACTGAAATTCTCAAAGAAGGCCCAGTTGCAGTTAGATTCCAGTAGCTTTTCGTAGATAACAGTAAAACCAGTCAGTAATAATCTATGAAATGATTTATTTAAGCTAGCCAGCCATGTTCAGAAACATTATATTATGAAAAAAAAAAGGAACAAAAACAAATATTTTCAAATTAAATTGCCTTTGCAAAACTAAGGTCACAAGAAACTCCTTCAAAAAGATAACGAAGGATGATTTTCACTGTTAAGGATTTGGTTGTGTATTGAAGTTCTTTCCTTTCCGCTTGCTTTCAGATAATTGCACAGAAGAATTGGGTACACCGGCAAATCAAAGTACCTGATATTGATAACATTAAACATATGGAGGCTACGGATTGTATAGAATTCCCAGAAACTACAGTTTTAACTACATAATAATGCAGAATGTTTGGTCTTCTCACACAAGCAAAGCACCACTGTGTTCTACCAATTCAAGCTAATTCAAGATCCAAGCATTGTTCAAGACTTCAAGTTAAGCAGGAAAAATTGGAATCAGGTTGAAAGAACTCAGCTTAAATGCAACCCTTGGGACAGAACGACTTGACCATAACTCATCAGAAATCTAAGCTGTAAACTTAAATGCCAGTTCCTAGTCTGCAGAAAGGTGAGGCTGAAATAGGAAAAACTTGGTTTTTCTTTTTTCTTTTTGAAAAGTGGTTGATTTATAAACTCGCAGCTAGAATGTCATGGTGAGTCTTGAACCATATAGGTAGACGACTCATGTTGGCATAGAGCAACTAGCTTTGAAAGGACAACAACGTTCGAGTCAAATACAAAAACGATGATCTGTTTATCAAGCTCAAAGCAGCATCAATCCAAAAAGGGAGCCCTTAACCAACACCTAATGGCGCCAAGGAAAATCAACCAAAACTATACAACAGGTATATCGACTTGAAGTGGTCCACCAAACATCAACGAAATTCCATTGCAACACCAAAAATCCTCGAAAAGCTTCCTGCTCTCCCCAGCATGAAAGACAACCGCGAAGGACAGCAGAGGATTCCAGAAGAAAAACAGCACCAGCGGCAGCAAAAGACCACTCAGCACAACGAGGCAGGCAACATCTTCCAAAAGCCGAGAGCAGCACAAAGGGTCGAGCATGGACAGACTGCCTAATGAGCCCTCAGGGTCGTGAATCAACTCCCTCCACAATGGCCCTGAGCTCCAGACCGGTAACGGCCAACCAAGCACCATTAGACTCAAAATCCAAGTCCAGCCAAATCAAGCACCTACGGATAGAGGACTACAAGCCTTGGTTATTCAGCCAAAACTTGGTCATTAATACTGCCTAAGCAACAGTATACACCCAATAATGGAATCTGGCATCTGGCATATACACCCAACAAAATACCTCCAGTGCTTACTCCTTTCCGGCATCTCTAGCATATACGCCCAACAATGGCATACCAAATAGGATTCCTTCTGCAGATAGCCAATCGAATACCAATTCAGGTTACTTTTTTCAATGAGTTAATTATGCACAACAAAGAAACTAATCAATTTAATGATGTCAAAGTTGAAGTAAACTTCTAATTCTTGAAAAGCAAACCTTTTTGTGACAAGAAACAGGACCTTAGATATGAAAAAGCTGGAGAAAAAGTCAAGTTGATCAGGTTCATTTCTTAGCAGAGAATTCACTGGTATTGAACATCACTCACTTTCAAGATATCTTTTCAACCAAAGGCCGTCACAGTTTCAAAGGTGTCATTATATACAAGATGGTGTTCCCTGGAGTTCCCTTACTGATTGATTTATATTAAGAAGGTTTATTGCAGTGCTTCTTCTTGTTCAAAAGATTCAATCTTCTATTTGATTTAATATAAAATAACAGACCACAATGATCATCAGAATTTTATTAATGCATCAGAGAAGTAAAAAAAATATTTAAATAATTAATAGATCAAAACTAAATAGAACAATTAAAATGACTAAAACGTAAACACAAAAAACCAATAGAAAAAATATAGTTATTTCCATGTACTGCAGACCTCCACCATGTACAGAAACAAAACACAGTTTTCACCTTAAGTTCTTTCAAACAAATAACATAATTTTCACCTTCCATATAAAACAGATTCCCTCAGAGTAGGGTCTCATAGTAGGGTGTCGACTATGTATATCATACGTGCACCTTCTTTTGTCTTTTCTCTTCAATAATATATATATATATATATTTTATATATATACAAACGATGTAATTGTAACATATATTTTTCTTTTATCTTTCATCATTTATTATATATATATATATATTCCATTCTGTCAAATATTTTGATAAATTCAAAAAATGAAATCATTTGTTTCTTTAAAACTCATAACTCATCTTTGTATGTGTTTTAAAAATTCTCACTTGATTTTATTTTTTTGATTTAAAATATATTTTATTAACTTCGGCTCCACTGCATCAACCGGTTTCCAGGTGAACCCTTCCTGAGCGCGTGAGCTTCTGAGTTGTGGTTCAAAGGCCATCATTCAAGCTCCAAAATCCAGCATCTTAGGTATTGTAGGCCTGTAGCTTATTTAAAAATGATCGTTCTTAAGGATCAAGTTCGCAATTCTATCAAAATACTTCTTCTTAATAAAATTTTACATCGTGTAAAAGTAATTAAGTCTGCTCCCATTTGTTCTCTCCTTTATCGTATAATTTATTATTTTTACAAGTGAAATACCTATCAGATGATAAACTTATAGGAGTATTCTTTGTGATAAGAGAGAGGAAACGTTATAAATGAAGACGATGAACAGAAAAATAGGAACAGTTTTTAAAATATTAAATATTGTAATGGATGGCAGAAAATAAGTGAATAGTATAATAATTGTTGAGAATATAAAGAATTGTATTGCAAAAATTATAGGATAAGATTGAGAATAGGTAATAGAGTATAACTGAAAATAAGACAAATGAAGTAGAAAAAAATTAGAGAGAAAATATTTAGAGTGAAAATATATCTTATTCCTGTAGCCCCTTATGACTCCACTTATTTTTGAAGGGTGTTATTTACTTTCACTGAATGGTGCTACGTAAGGTGCTTCTAGGTGAATCTTTTTTTTACCAATTCAATAACTTGAACTCTGAAACTTTTTTAGCCATCTCCTTAATACATATAATGGACTTTGTTTGATGAAAAAATATAATTAATGCTACATGGCAAGCAATTCAGCTTCCATTTAATTGTCTGATTGATTTGTCAAATATTTTGGAATCATTATTTCTTAGTCAAGCAGACTTAACGTAACTTTTCTGAATAAGATAAAAGAACATTCCTCGAAACTTCTTTTTTTTTTTTATTAAAAAAAATTTATATATCTATGGTCACTGGTTTGAATACAATATAGGGTCGGAAAGACTACAACTGGTATAAATTGATTGTCCTACCGATGTACTACGCCAAGCAAGATAATCCTACAGATCCCACCTGTACTCCAAACGGTAAAAACTTGAAATAGTTATAGTTTTTATTTGTTTATTAATTTATTGATTTCTTTATTAATTTAGTTAAAACTTATTGTAAAAAAAAAATCTTTTTGTGTAACTTAAACGATTGGATGTTTCATCCAAGAAAAATTAACTATTTAAACGATTCAAACTTCAACATCATTTAAGTCATAAAACTTGATTTCGCCCTCCAACTTTATCTACTTAAAAGTGTAATTAAGCATTTTAAGTTTTAATGGGTTGATCAATTAATGATTTTCAAATTAAATTTTACTAATCTATTAATTTATAATTTTGATTTTTAAAATTCGTTTTCATTTTATGTTTTTTAAGAAGAAATCTCACCAACTTAACTTAGAAAATTTTATCCAAGTTCAATGTGGCTTATGGTTTCGTGGACATCTAGAGGGAACAATCACCCACACACACACACACACACCAACACCAAGACTGCCTCAACTCAAACGTGACACTCACAAGGTAATCTCTCACGTAATTGTAATCAAATTACATAAATGTAAAAATCATTATTTCGATAGTAAAGAAGATGTTTTGATACCTTTAAATCTAAGATTTAAATTTTATCAAGTGAGGGTTTAATCTAATTCTATATTTATTTTATTTGATTTCAACTAAAAGTGTAACAGAGTGACATGAATTTTTCTATAGAGAAGTTTTAGTTGATTCTTTACATTTTATAAATTTATTTAAGGAACTCTGTATGAATAAACAAGTTGGAATTTTCGACTTAATTCTAGTTTAATTATTTTCTATTAAGAATTTATCAACATCATTTGCGTTCTCTCTACCTAAATTTTAGATATTTACATAAGAAATTTGATAAAAGAAAACATAAAAGAAGATTCATTAGAATTACTTCACTCGTCGTCTGAAAACAACATTCTTACATTTTCTTTCGGTACATCACTATAGTAAATTAGAATATAAAAGGCCAATAATGTCAACATCTGAGAAGAAAACAGAGGATTGGGACTGGAATTAAAGTTCAAACACGTTGTAGACACCCTTTTTAAAAAAATAATAAATAAAAAAAAAATTAAACATTAAACAAAATATAAAATGAGAAAAAAGAAGAAGAAAGAGAGTGAACTGAGCATGTGCTCAGCACCCCCCACTCCTTTGCGTCATTACGGGCATTTAATCATGCCCCGGCCAC